CCTTTCAATTACCACTGAAGTAAAAAGGTTTAGAACTCTATTTTGCATTCATCATAAGTATGTGTAAAGATCCATAGAATCATGCTGCCTGTGAAGAAATCACCTATGGCTCCTTCCAGTGCATCTCTCTGATTTCGTCCAGTCCCAAGATGGATTTTATGGAAGTTCTTTGGATCTTAAAAATTTCTTCATGCAAATTGTTATCTGCTTTCAATTGTTTGCATTTTTGAAGAAGTTGGTAACTGAGGTTAATATACCATTTTTGTTAGGCTAAAGGAGCATTTGTGGTTCCTGTGCCTCAACATATTGCGCATATGTTTGTAGTGAAATTCATGTTTCAAGGGCCACGGGTATAGCTCAGTGGCAGGGCACGTGCTTGGCCAGTGCGAGGTCCTGATTTCAATACCTGGTACCCCTCCTCTGAAAAAAATGAGAAATTCCTTTTTCAGCCACTTTGCAAGTTACTCCACAGCCTCTGAGCTTGGGGTATTTATTGCAAGTTGGCGTTTAAAAATTTTCTTTTCATGTGATTAAAATTGTTATTGCTGTTTATTTTCTTCAAGTGAGAGTGAATTACAATTTTTGAGAAATAAGGAAAATGCTGGCAGGCTGATAATGAAAATTCAAAATAAACATTTTCATAGGAAATTTTTGTCTACTATTTTATAGATATGTGCTTAGTTTTTGTAAACATGTGGGCTAGCTGAGTTTATTTATATTTGTCCATCTAATACATTTTAATATATTTCTGTAGTTTGATGTTGTGCTGTATACATCTAGTGTTGAACCTCTTCTACATGGTCTTTTGACACTTGTAAGATGGTTGTATCACTTTGAGGGCTATGAAAAATGTAATCTTTATAATTTCCAGTCCCGTTTATATCTCATTCACAATTACATGACATAATATTGTATATTTTGATAGGGAAGTAGTCTGTGGTAAAATATTTTAGTCATTCCAGGATTTTGGTGATACTTTAGTTTTTGCAGCATGCCAGGATGTTATATTCAATAAAGATAATTCTATGGGCTCCGTCTCAGTCCCGGCTCATTACTTATTAGTCTTTTGTTTTGTCCTTATCCAGTGACAGGATTCCATGATGTTTGTTGTTTAGATTTCATTCTAATGGATTACATTAATTATTCACTAAAGCTTTTGATACTTTTAACAATTTATTGTGCATTGTCTATAATCTCCATAAATAATGAAGAATGAAATTTCCTACTTTTTGAGTGAGTTTCATAATATGTTGCTATTGCTTCTCTAACTTTCTGATGTCATCTTTGTTTTTTTTTTAATATGTAGTTCATTGTTTGTAATTTCTTCAGAAGCAGCCATGTGTGGGTACTACATTCATTTTCATCATTATATTTACTCCTCAATATTTAATCAGTTCTTGCATTTGAATCATGTGTCTTTTCAAAATTTATGATTTAATCTCTAAAATATTCTTAGGAGTATGTTAATATATTCCTACTGTTGGTGTCAACTTTCATTTTAATAGATGTTAGAGCCTGCTTTGCACAGTTTTCATTACTTTGAGTACATTAAGATTTTTCCTCTTTTCTGATTTTAATTATTGTGTTTATACTGCAGAATAATTACATTCATGATAATTTGTTTTTTTTTTTTGGTTTTTCTCCGGTACCAGGAACCGAACTCACGACCTTACGCTTGCCAGGCAGGCACTTTTGCCGCTGAGCTAAATCCCCAGCCCCTCATGATAATTTTTCTTGTATTATTCATAGAGTTGGTACATGTCCATAATGTATTTCAGTCATTTTGCCTCTAGAAATTGATTCTCTCTTTTGCTCTAAACATGATGTATTTGAGTGAATATTTGTGTTTCTGAGTAGACATTGTACTATTTAGTTGTTAGATAAAATATTATGTAGTATTCAGTCAATCCTAAAGAAGCATGCTGTTGTTAATTTTGAGTTTTCCATTATACAGTTTTTGGCTTTCTTCAGCTATGAATTAGTGATGGAGTTGTTTTGACATCTTGAGACAGTTGTGAATCAGAGATATTTCTCTTCATATTCATGTTTTGCCTTATGTAATTTGATGCTCTTATGTGTAGTATTGTTATAGTCAAGAGTTTCTAAGGAAATAGATTAAATATAGGACAAATAATATATAGAATTATTTTTTAATATCCACCCAAAAGTGTTAAATGCAGGGAACTTCCAGAGATCTGTCCATGCTGGGCATGGTGGTGCATGCCTGTAATTCCAGCCAGAGGAGGCTGAGGCAGGAGGATTCCTGTGAGTTGAAGGCCAGCCTGGGCTACAAAGTGAGCTGAGGGCCACCCTGAACTGCATAATGAGATCATGTCTGAAAAAAACCAAAGAACCCCCAAACAAACAAACAAACAAACAAACAAAAGATCTGTCCCTGTGCTAGAGACCAAAGGAATCCAGCTAAGGGCCTGGATCCTATGACAGTGTTCTGCACAGCTCCCACTCAAGACCTAGAGCCTGTTGCAAATCCTTTCTTAGTCTAGCTGGAGGCCTGGAGCCCACAACCATGTCTTGTGTAAGTGTGTATCAAGGATCTACACTGGGAAGGCCCACAAGTCAGTTGTGGAAGCTACAAAATCTGTATCACCAGGGTGAAGGATCTGTGCCACCACGCTGATGGATTGATACTAGGAAGTGATTTTAAAGGTAACAACCAGAATTCTCCTGGAGAGAACAGTCACCATCCTTAGCAACAGTGAGCACTCAAACTCATCTGATGATTAAAAGAGCTGTGTTTGTGTCAGGAAAAACAGCAGGAGAAGCTTCTTCAGTAACAGCATGCCATGTTCCTGTGCAGTTCTTCTTTTATGTTGCTGGCAACAATCCTGAGATGGGCCTTCTATACCCAGAATCACACTGGTTCAGTTCACCTGGGTATTTTAAGTAGACCATAGTTAACCCACACTAAGGTATAACAAAGTGTGTTCTTTGCAGAGAACTGCCGTTTATATCATGATCTGATCGCTGGGGTTATTTTGAGGAACTTGAATAATGTCAAATTAATAGTGCTTCCTCACTTTTTGTGGAATCCTTGATAGGCCAGTGTGTGTCTTTTTGCATAGATTTCTATATAGTTTACTGTTATCAGTGTGAAAATAACAACCACTTCTGTCCATGTTGGCCCAGCACTGGGACCATAACTCAGATGTGTGGAGATTGTTCACCTCTGATATCTGTTCTTTCTCTGACAGTCTAAAATGTCCTTGTGAGGGGCCATGTGGAGTTTGAACACTGGTTGCTTAGAGTCTTTTTGTTTCTTGTTTGCAACTGTGGTGCTTTGTTTATTGCTGCCCAGCGTATGAATGTTGTCTCTTTTTTAAATACATAAATGCAGACAGATATAGATGAATGTGTCCTTTGCAATAAACTTTGTTTTCATAATTATTGGTTAGACTTAACACTAATAACGTAAATAACCTGGGAATATGCAGAAAGTGAAAAAAATACATTTCACTGGCCTTGCGCATTGTTTGAGAGCATCCAAGTGATTGATACCCTATCTGACTCAACCCTGTCTTACCCGTGGTTGACCACTCTCCCACTTCGGTGGCTTTTCCTAAGTTTACCATGTGTGAGTTTGTATGAAAAATGTTCTTTTGGTTTCCTCCCTTTGCATTTTCAGTAAGTGATTATTATAGATTTGTGAAGAGAACTATTTTGAGAAGGTTTTTTTACTGTCACAAGTGATGATATGTGAATCAAGAGTCAAGTGCTTTCTCATCCATGTCATTGGTCCTGGGAGGCAGACTTTTTCAAGTTTACTTGAAAAGATTTACGTCTCTCTCCAGGAATAATAGCACAGTGTGTTCTCTGCTCATTGGAAAGAAGCTACTGGTCTGTACGGGTTGATACACTCTAAAGTAAAGGAAATGAATGTAGAGTGTAGCAATAGTTTCTCTACTTTCTCTTACGTGTGTTCTTCCACTCTTCCATTTTCTTTAGTGATATTTAAGAAACGTTGAGTTCTTTTATTTATTCCATGTTTTTGCTTGAGTTAGATATGTTGTAGTCATTTTTGTGTAGATTTGTGTTCATTCATTTTTACTCCCTATACAAAACGTTTATACTGGGCACACATGACATTTATTACTGTCTTGTTTATATCCCTTGTATTTTCTAATTTTGATACTTACTTTATTTTTTTCTGAGGAAAACCTTTTCACATTTGAAGTTTTTTCACTGAATTCTCAAGCATTTAAGGTTATCTTTCCCATTTCAATATGTAACATATTGCAGGTAGAATAGAAGGCTATATACAATCCAGGCTCACAAACACATCTCTATTTCTCACGAAACATAAATTAAAGAGATTGTGGTTTCTTCCAGAGATGAATACCACCGGCTTTGTCAATGATGCATATTCCACATACCTGTGAACTCACTGAATTCTGTGTTCCATTCTTGAAATCTATTTGTCATTTTCTCTAGTGATGGTACTGTCTCATGACCTGTGGAATTTGAATGTTTTTATTTATATTATGGAAGCTATTACCTTCCTTTCGTAGAAGGTAGTGAAGGTTGTGAGAGTTTTATTATATTGTATAGCTATAACTTTTAAACAAGTCCAACTTGTGTTTACTTTGTTTCTGGGAGTTTGAGTCAGGGTCTCTGTTTGTCTTTCACACAATTATGTAACTGAGTCTAGCCTCAAAATCAAGGCAGTTCTCCAGCATCACTGTCCCAAGTGCTGTGGTTGCAGGCATGTACCACCATGTCTTGTGATATATTGGTTTTCAATGGATATAATACATTTTATTCATCTACCTCTCAGACCAGCCTAGAATCTCTTATGTCTGAGTAGAAGGTGACACTGAGCTCTAAGATAGTTTGCAGCCTTGGCCGGTTTTCATTGTTCATAGACTGTTCCAATAAAACTTTTTCTATGAATACTTTTGTTAGTATTTATATACCATATTTGAGGTTCAACTGTGTTTGTTTGTATGAAGCCAAATTCAGGTTTCAGAATGCTGCTTAAGTGCATCAAAGAAAGGACTTAATGACATCAATAATGAGGTTTGAAAAGAGATTTTACCTATGGGCTATCAATGTGACTCATTAGATATTCATCTGCCCCTGTGCTTTGTGGATGGTGGTTTCGTAGGCTCCCATTGTGAGCTCTGCTTTAGACAGTGCACAGCTACCCCTGCAGTGATCCAGCAAAAGAATCAGTGCTCCTAATGTCTGATGGATGAATTGTAATCTAGTACCATAATTGGTGTCTGAAAAAAATGTGGCTCTGTATGGAATTAATGACCGAGATATGGAACTAAGATTTGTACACTTCAGCCTATATTTAACTGAGTGCTAAGATTACAGTATGTACTACCATACTAGGCTCTAAATTTAGCTATGAGAGGAGTTAAGATATTGTAGGCTGTGAGAATACACCTACCTTTGAGAGATGTATGTATGACCATTTAGGAGGCATTGACCTTTGAAGATGTGGCTGTGAACTTCACCGTGGAGGAGTGGGCTCTGCTGAATACATCCCAAAGGGAGCTCTACAGAGATGTGATGGGGGAAACCTTCAGGCATGTCGCTGCCATAGGTAAGGATGAGAGCTCTTTCTCATTTACACTATCAGAGAATATCGTTTATTGCTGATCAGTGCTGTTTCATTATAAAGAATGTGAAAACATTTTAAAGAATAGCTCAGGCCTGAATCCAATTGAAATCTATTAATTTTTAGATATAAATATAATGAGTCTTCATATTTCTATGTCTGCAATTCAGGAAGAGCTGGGGATAACCAAGAAGTTGAAAAAGAACACAAAAATTCCTGGAGAAGTCCAAGGTAATTTGCACTCACAAGGGAAAAGTATGTTCTTCACAAGTCAGTGTATGAGCAGAAAGATGACAACCAAAGAAATGAGGCTAAGTTCAATTTAACATCAAAAATTTCTGCAAAGGGCCTGCGGTATAGCTCAGCGGCACAAGCGCCTGCCTGGCAAGCGCAAGGTCCTGAGTTCGATTTCCGGTACCCCCAAAAAAAAATGTTCTGCAAAGATGTTTACAGCTTCAGTATATATAAGCTGACAGTTGAATCATAAACAGGTATGAAAATAGGTTTAGGTATCGTATATAGCTGTATATGAAAAGAACAAACTTTGAGTTTTGACAGGAAGTTGTCTTTATTAACTCTGTGTATATATATTGATTATAACACATACAATATCCAAAAATTGCTAACCTTGAAGCAGTTATTGAAAGTTCAAAGTAATGGTAGTGTTTCAATACATATTTTCAAGGCATTGTCCAGGGACTTGAGTTCATTCTGATTGAACCTTCTTAGAATATTGGTGAAATTTTAATTACAGTCAGTATGATGATCACTATACAGATGTCTCCAAAAGTTAATCGAGACATATTTCTGGGTATATTCTCAATAGCATGAAAATCATCATATTATACAGATGCATGCATACCCATAATCACAATAGGTCAGTTTAGAACCAGTAAGCCATGAATCACCTTAGATATCTATCAGTGTATTCATGGATAAGGAAAATTGTTGATAGGCTGTGTGTGATTGTGCATTCTTGTGAACATAGTACTCTGGGAAGCAGGTATTGATGAATGGCAAGTTGAACCAACCTGAACAATTTAATCGTCATTGAAAATCTCTCTAAAATACAAATAAAAAAACTGGAGATTTTGTTCTAAGATCTGAGTTTCATACTGAGCACTGAAGACAAAAAGAAACTGTATTGCATAGTCAGTAAAAAAGATCAGTTATACCATGTGATTTGCCAAAAGTAATGGATGGGTCTTCCTCCCGTAGTGTTAAGAGAAATAACTCTCACATGAGAAACCAAAATATAAATTAAGAGAGTACAGTAAAGGGAAGTTGATAGAGAAAGGACAGACTGATTTTTTGGAGATAAGTAAAAGAGATTGGTTAAGGAAAAGAAACAGGTTAAGGAGAGAAGGGAGTGTGTTGAGTGAAAGATCAAAATAATCACTATGTGATACTCATATGAAGTGAATGCTGAAAATGAACCTAAACCTTCTGTATTTTCAGAATATAGGAACTTTGAAATTCTAAAATGAATATCACTCTTTTGGGAATAGCGATTTTCAATGTATCTTGCAAGGCATTCAATTAATTCATTGTCCAAAATTCTTAGCCGGCATCAAAAGACAACTTGTTTTTGTAAGTCATTATTATGATGACCATTTTTATTGTGACTTCTTTTTCTTTGCAGAAGTGAAGAATTAAGGAAATGCTCTGAATATCAAGGTTGGAATCAATATGAAGAAATACTCCTTTGTGCTCCAGATGTTAATGTGCATGTAAATCAAATAGACACACCCAATAATGGTCAGATCCATGAAACAAATTGTAGTAGAGGGAAACCCTATCTATGTATGCAGTGTGGGAAAGCTTTCAGACGAAAGAGTCATTTTGAATGTCATGAAAGAACTCACACAGGGGAGAAACCCTATGTATGTAAGCAGTGTGGCAAAGCTTTTAGCACACGTGCATCTTGTCAAATACATGAAAGGCTTCACACTGGAGAAAAGCCCTATGTATGTAAACAGTGTGGTAAAGCTTTCAGCACCCGTATGAATTGTCAAATACATGAAACACTTCACACTGGAGAGAAACCCTATGTATGTCAGCAGTGTGGTAAAGCTTTCAGCACACGTATGTATTGTCAGATTCATGAAAGAATTCACAAAGGGGAGAAATCCTATATATGTGAACACTGTGGGAAAGCTTTCAGCACAAAACGTGATTGTCAAACACATGAAAGAATTCATACTGGGGAGAAACCCTATGTATGTAAACAGTGTGGGAAAGCTTTCACCAGAAACACTCTTTGTCGACGTCATGAAAGAACTCACTCTGGGGAGAAACCCTATGTATGTAAACAATGTGGAAAATGTTTCACTACAGATGCATATTGTAAAATACATGAAAGACTTCACACTGGAGAGAAACCCTATGTTTGTAAAGAATGTGGTAAAGCTTTCAGCACACGCCGATCTTGTCAACTACATGAAAGAATTCACACAGGGGAGAAACCTTATATATGTAAACACTGTGGGAAAGCCTTCAGCACAAAATGTGTTTGTCAAAGACATGAAAGAATTCACACTGGGGAGAAACCCTATGTATGTAAACAGTGTGGGAAAGCTTTCAGCACAAACACTCGATGTCGAAGTCATGAAAGAACTCACTCTGGGGAGAAACCCTATGTATGTAAACAATGTGGAAAATGTTTCACTACAGATGCGTATTGTAAAATACATGAAAGATCCCACACTGGAGAGAAACATTTTGTATGTAAGCAACGTGGGAACAATTTCAACTGGTACCGTGATTGCAAATTGCATGAAAGAACTCACACAGGGGAGAAACTCTATGTATGTAAGCACTGTGGGAAAGCTTTCACCACACATGCCTATTGTAAAATTCATGAGAAAATTCACACAGGTGAGAAACTCTATGTATGTAAGCACTGTGGGAAAGCATTCACCACACGTGGATCTTATCAAATACATGAAAGAATTCACACAGGGGAAAAACCCTATGCATGTAAGCAATGTGGGAAAGCTTTCAGTACACGCAGATCTTGTCAAGTACATGAAAGAATTCACACAGGGGAGAAACCCTATGTATGTAAGCAGTGTGCGAAAGCTTTCAGCACACATAGATCTTATCAAATACATGAAAGAATTCACACAGGGGAGAAACCCTATGTATGTAAGCAGTGTGGGAAAGCTTTCAGCACATGCAGATCTTTTCAAATACATAAAAGAATTCACACAGGGGAGCAACTTTATGTATGTAAGCAATGTGGGAAAGCTTTCAACAGAAACTCTAGTTATCAAATTCATGAAAGAACTCACACTGGGGATAAACCCTATGTATGTAAAGAATGTGGGAAAGCTTTCACCACACATGCGTATTGTAAAATTCATGAAAAAATTCACACAGGGGAGAAACCGTATGTATGTAAACAATGTGGGAAAGCTTTTCCCACAATCCAGTATTTGCGGAGACATGAAAGAATTCATACTAGGAAGAAGTCGTGTATGTAAGCAATGTGGAAATGCTTTCACAAGGCCGAGTGAATCTCAAGTATATGAACAAATTCACACTGGGGATTCATCCTATGTATGTATATAATGTGCAAATACTTTCTGCACACATAAATTTCTCACATGTAACAAAGAATATCCTGGGCTGAAATACTTTGTGTATGAGTAATGTGGGAAAGGTGCTAGTCCACACCCCATCGTTAAGTACATGAAAGAAGACTCACTGGAGAAAAACTATACCTTCAAGTTGCTTTTGAAACTCGTGTGAAAATTTTTCATATAATGGAATTCTGCTCAGAAAGTGCACCATGTTTAATGCCAATACGTCTTCACAAATGTTGAAGAAAATACAATTCCCCCATGGAGCTGTTCTAAAGTAAGTGCATAGTGTGGTTTTCAGTAAATCACTTCTACATATCTATACTGTATATTTGTAGGGTTTAATATGAAAATATTGAGTTTACATACCTTTTGTATTTTTGAATGTCTCTGTTGAATACATAGTGTCTTTTAAATAAATATATTGAATTGGAAAATGTACTTTTTAGTTTCAAGTATGGTTGCTTTCTATTGACTTAATGTTTTTGATATTGGGAGATACAGGCAATATTGCATATTTTTATTTCTTACAGGAGCCAGTATTACCATTTCCATAAATGTTTTTTTCTTACCATCAAAATTTTATTTTTCACATTTGTACTGCAATGACTTTTAATATAGTGTTAGTTTTTCTACCCTGTGTATCAAAAATAACCCATTCTGCAAGCCTCCTGTTCAAATGACAAAACACTTCCAACATTCCATCCACTTGGGCACAAAGCAAGTCCAAAATTCAGCAGGTCAGACATTAAGTTCTCTAGTTACAAGTCCAGCATCTGATGTAATGTGTGGTAAGATGGAAACTCACCCAAGGAATGGGTGGCTCCACTTCTTGACATTTCCAACGGTTGTACCTATCATGGGTTCTCTCTTGAGCTAGCTTTGATCCCTGTTTGTAGGTTTCTTCAGATGATCCATGTTGCTGTTTGCAGATTCAGAAAAACATAAGATCTACACTTTGGTGGTAGAATTTTGACATGTAACGGCAGCATAGATGACAGCACAGCTGGTGAATCACAATTCAGTGTGTTTTTTTTTCAACTGTCAGTGTCAAACCTGGAAACTTCTTTAAGAGGACTCCTGTAATGCTGGGCCTGAAGACATCCTATCTCGGATAGGACACTGCACGTTATTTCACTGAAAAAATAGTTGCTTATAGGTGTTTGGTGGTGAGAGACCAAAAACCTATTTGAATGTTTTCTTTATTTATGATGTGGACTCTGATCATGTAGATATAATATCAGATGGTATGAAGAAAGACTGTGGGATGGTCTTGGTGACAGGGTTCACAGAGAGAACAACTGTTGATGCGGAAGTGAATGAAATAGATGTCTTATGTGGACTCTGCAAAGACAAGGAAAAGAGAGAAAAGAATGTGAAAAATTCTTTCTGTATTTATGACATTGTGAGGACTAGTTGGTGTTGTGTCTATAAGAATGATCAAACTGCAAAGGATAGTCCTAGTAAAAGTCTACAGGATGAAGAACCATGTCCAAGATTTGCCCATCAGCTTGTTTATGATGAGTTAGATAAGGTTGCTTTCTTATTTGGTGGGAAGGCAGGAAAATCTTGTTCTGTAAAGATGAGACTTGATGACTTCTGGTCACTGAAGCTGTGTTGACTTTCAAAAGATTATTTGGTGAGGCACTGCACATACCTCATGAGAAAACACAGCTTTGAAGAAAAGGCACAAATAGATCCTGTTAGTGCTCTAAAATACTTGCAAAGTGATCTTTATATAACTGTGGATCATTCAGACCTAGAAGAGGCAAAAGAGTTCCAGCTCCTAGCTTGTGCTGTATTCAAATGTGGTTCAGATTTTAGAGCTTTAGGCTTTCGGATGTGGATCACACCTATGCTCAAAAGAACTCAGCTCTTGGACAGCTTAGTAAATTTCTTTCCTGACAGCATGGCTCCTAAAGGCAACCTGGTAGACCTCATCACAGTGTAAGTGAAAAGTCACTGGCCACACAGTGGAGAACAGGAGGCATTTTCAGTGTATGGAT